GAGCGTGAATTCATAATTTAACAAAGAAAGAGAGGTAATATTAATCAACAAAAATATCAGGGTGAACTTAACAGTTGTGGGAATTCCATGTTAGTGATGTTACTGGGATGCTCCTGCATGATGGCAAAAGCAGCTCTGCCAGATGTCAGACCTTTCGATTCTAGACCGCATATCTCCAAATGTTGCTCAATAACACGGTTTCGATCTCGTCCCGCTATCGTGCCACAATCGGTGTACCACTTCCTTACACCCGAAAAGCTGGAAAGGGAGATAAATGCTCTGCCTGAAACTGAAATCAATAGACGCATTGGAGCACCTGCCTTATTGTTCATTCCTGAAAGCACAGGTGGGGGGAACCTGGGACGAGGGGTGTTTACAAAAGCAGAATACACTGGATTACATTTCACATAAAGGTGTGTGTGCGGGTGTGTGTGTGTGTGTGTGTATGTGTGTGTATGTGTGCGGGTTCGTGATTCAATCGGTGCAAGCTTGTTCTAGCCCGTTTTCCTGGTTTCCTGCCTTATTCGTCCACTTTTCCCTCCTCTCCTATCGATGTACTGATAAGATTCCATGCTGCATCATCAGCATTCCGTTCATCATCAGGTTTATTTAAAGCACTATTCCTTTCCTTACATTTGCACTGATAAAGCAAACGTATTGTATCATCAAAACTACATTTGCTGGCGATGTAAGGAGATTTCGATGTTGCTGAGTGGTCTTCAGGTCCTGGAAGAAGCTGCAACTCGGGATTTGCCCAAAACCGTTCTTTTCCTCGTAAACGCTATCCGTTAATGTATAAACTTTCAGCATCAAACCGAACTAGCGCCCAGTCCAACGAATTTTCCTCACTTTTTTCACGACAGTATTCCGCAAACCATTTATATGGAATGATTTCTCAAGTTTCATTAATATATACACCTCCTCGGAGGTGTACATGTTTGTATATGCAGGAAAAAGCTCGAAAGGGCAATCGCCAGAGTTAAGCTTTTTTTCCGATTTCGATTGATTTTTTTTTTGTTTCTCTGATCTCAACTTTTTTTTTTCATTTCTCTGGCTTTGTTTGTTCACCAATTTCTGCACGCAATAAGTAATGGTTAGCTT